GTAATATTAAAGAACTCTAAAAATCAGTCTGAGTTATATGTATTCTTTGTTTACTTCAGATTGCCAACTTTTAAATAACCTTGATAAGATTTGAATGACAATATCTTGAATTTTCAGAACAATTTTGAAATAGTCACATAATCATACTGTCTTCTTATTTATGAATGTAATGTATATTTAAAATTTTTAATCTGTTTTTGAAATCAGTGATTTAAATTTCTATATGATTAATATTACTGACCTGCTTAAAATTTGTGCTAAGTTTCTTGTGCCCAGATCATGACCCCGAGAGAGACCACCAATGACGAGCATGCCAGAATGCAAAAGCAAGGTTTAATTTGGAATATCCAAAAGAATATCCAAAAGCAATACAAGCCTAGACAGGGACTTTGTCCAATACATCCAAGGCAGTGGAGGCTGGAGGAAGTGCCTGCCTGTCTGCAAGCTCAGTTTTCAAAGGCAAAAGCCACAAGGTTACATCACTTAGGGGTGCTAGTATGGGTACAATTCTGATTGGGTCACTACTAGGGCCTTTCTAGAAATCATGGCTTAATCTTACTTCTAAGGGGGTGGTTGCCCACCATGATTTCTCATTGGCTACCCTCAGGTGGGGACATTTCTGTGGTCAGTTACTCTGGAAACCAGGTGTTAGTTTTTTGACTGCGCTCTTACCCTGCGAGGAAATGTCATGAAACAGGACAGAATCTAAACAAGTGTTTTATTAAGATAAGGGAAAAGGACAGGGTGCTCGGGCCTGTTAAAGAGATGCGTGCATGGAGAAGAAGGAAGCCAGGAATATGGCACCAGTTTATAAAGGCTGGGTTCCGCAGGCATACACAGGTCCATGTGGCTACTCCACGAATGTGCATAGATCACATAGTTGCGTTGTGTGCTTTTACGCAACCATGCAAAGCCAGGGGTTCCTTGTCATGCAAGACACCATGTCCCGGAAATGGTTATTTTGACCTGGAACTGGCTAAGCAGAAGTGTCTAGGTCTGCCAGACATGCCCAACCATCAGGGCGTGTTGTGAATCTATCACCAGGCAGAGGACATTCCATACTCTGGCAGTCATTACCTCATAACTACCTTGTGACTCTGTACTTTTACACTTTCTTGTTTCTGGAATCTGGACTGACTGGTTTCAGTAACTCATGGCCAATTCCTAAAAGGAGAAATCTTGGGCCTTAGTTTTAGGGTGAAAGCATTTTGGTCTTATTTCTAAGATGGCTCATTTTGGTCTCACAAGTTCTTATTGATAGCCTTTCCGTCATGCTGGTTTTGTTCATATTTGTTAATTGTGCTGATCCATATGTACATACTTCTTTTTCATATTTCTGTCTTTTTATTTTTTTAAGTCCTATCTATGTAAATTGCTTTAGCTTTCTTTCTCCAAGTAACTCAAAAAGATCTTAAAACAACTGTTGTGCCCAGATTGTAGCCCCCAGAGAGACCACCAAAGAGGAGCATGCCAGAATGCAAAAGCAAGGTTTATTTCTGGATATCCAAAAGCAATACAAGCCTAGGCAGGGACTTTGTCCAATACATCCAACACAGTGGAGGCTGGAGGAAGTGCCCACCTGTCTGCAAGCTCAGTTTTTAAAGGGAAAAGTCAAAAGGTTACATCATTTAGTGGTGCTAGCATGGATACAATTCTGATTGGCTCGCTTCTAGGGACTTCTAGAAATTACTTCTAAGGGAGTGGTTGCCCGCCACCATTTCTCATTGGCTGCCCTCAGGGGGCATTTCTGTGGTCAGTTACCCTGGAAACCAGGGAAAGGACATTCCATAGTCTGGCAGGCATTACCTCCTGACTATCTTGTGACTCTAAACTTCTACACTTTCTTGTTTCTGGAATCCAAACTGACTGGTTTCAGTAACTAACGGCCTATTCCCAAAAGGAGAAATCTTAGGCCTTAGTTTTTGGGTAAAAGCATTTTGGTCTTATTTCTAAGATGGCTCATTTTGGTCTCACATTAGTAACTGTATTTTAAAACTCAATGAGACCCAAGTAAACATTTGTGAATTATTTTTCCTTATGTAGGACATTTTTAAACGATTTTAATTTTTTTGAGAATTTCCTTTTTATAGCTCTTCAAAATTTTATAAAATATCTGTTATTATATTCATGTATTCCCAACTATTCTCTGGTATGTCTCCCTTCTACTACCAATTCAATTTTGTGTCCTCTTTTATTTTCCTCCTCCTCCTCCTCCTCCTCCTCAAGACATATTTATTTTTTTTGTGTGTGTTTGTTATGAGTGCTCTATCTGCATGTATGCCTGCATGCCAGAAGAGGACATTAGATCCCATTCCAGATTGCTATGAGCCAACTTTTGGTTGCTGGGAACTGAAATCAGGACCTCTGGAAGAGCAACCATTGCTCTTAACCTCTGAGTCATCTATCCAGCCCTCCTCCTCCTCCTTCTAACAACCTATGAAGTACAAGTTGTACTGTTTCTATATTCTTGCATGTGTGGTGTTACACTGGAGAGTGGCTGATTTACCAGGAGTGGACTCATAAAGAAAATGTTGTGCCCAGTTCATGACCCCCAGAGAGACCACTAAAGATGAGCATGCCAGAATACAAAAGCAAGGTTTAATTCTGGATATCCAAAAGCAATACAAGCCTAGGCAGGGACTTCATCCAATACATCCAACACAGTGGAGGCTGGAGGAAGTGTTCACCTATCTGCAAGCTCAGTTTTTAAAGGGAAAAATCACAAGGTTACATCATTTAGGGGTGCTAGTATGGGTACAATTCTGATTGGCTCGCTTTTAGGTGCTTTCTAGAAATCATGGCTTAATCTTACTTCTAAGGGAGCAGTTACCCATCACCATTTCTTATTGGCTGCCCTCAGGTGGGGATACTTCTGTGGTTAGTTACCCTCGAAACCAGGCTTGGAACATTCTATAGTTCAGCAGTTATTACCTCATAACTACCTTGTGACTCTGTACTTTTACATTTCCTGGTTTCTGGAATCTGGACTGATTTGTTTCAGTAACTATTGGCCTATTCCTAGAAGGAGAAATCTTAGGCCTTAGTTTTTGGGTGAAAACATTTTGGTCCTATTTCTGAGATGGCTCATTTTGGTCTCACAAAAATTGACTCTACCTTTTCCAGCAGCTGCTAGGCATGGGATTCTGTGCCCATCCACCTCCACCCCCATGCCGGAACTGGTCTAGCTTGCACGTGTGCAGGCCTTGTGCATTCTCTCACAACCACTCAGAATTCATAGGTGCATCTTCCTTGCTGTCTGGAAAATTGTGCTTCCTCATAGTCATGTACCTTTTCTGGCTCATCTACTCTTCTTGCCCTTTCCTCTGCAGTGTTCTTGAGACTTTATAGGAGAGAATGTGATAAAGATATCCCATAAAGGTCTGACTCTTTCAGCCTTATTTTCTGCATATTGATCACTTGTAGGTTATCTGAAGTGTTAAATGAATTCAACTGCAAATAGAAGCTTCTCTGGTGAGAGTTGAGAGGTGTGTTAATTTATTGAAAATTCATCTTTCATACATGAGTACTGTATTTACACCATTTTCTCATCTTTCTCCTCCCACCTACTCCTCTTATTACCTCCCTAACAAATTCATGACCTCTCCTTTTTAACTGTGATTTTTCAAACACACACACACACTACCCCTACACACACCCTATGAGTCCATTTAGTGCTACTTGAATTTACATATATTTAGGCCTGGTCATTTGATATTGGATAACTCATTGGGTGTGATTACTCCAAGAGAAGATTGATTTTCCTTTCACAGCAAAATTTAATTACATATAGCTCTTCATCTAGGGGTAGAGATTGTGAGAAGTTCTCTGCATGCATTGGCATTTCTACTGGTATTGTGCTGAACAACCTTATTTCTGAGATTTTTGTGGGTACAGTTAATCTGTCATATATAGAAAGACACTATATCACAGCAGACATCTTGATTCTCTGGCTTTCACAATCTTTCTGTTCCTTCTTCTATGATGTACTTGGAGCCTTGGGTGTATAGATTTTCTTGAAAATGAATTAACTAGGATTGGTCAACCTACACTCAGTTGTTCTCTGTATTTTGACCTGTTGTGGATTTCTGAATTAATCTCCATTTGATGCAAAAAGAGAACCTTCTTTGATGATGGATGGGAACAGCACCTATCTGTATTGGAGGATTTATTAAGGCAACTCCACGTAGTTCAAAA